AATGTTTGTTGATTTTGATATCAGGCTTTTGGGTTGTCTTTGTTTCTTGAGATGTTGGCTTCTTCTGTGAGTAGTAACTATTGATATCGTTAGAAAATACTTATTACATTCTGAACAACAAAGTTGAGCATAATTAACTTTGCTAATTGATAGACAATAAGCATCATATCCTGGTATTTTATCTTTGTTAAAAAATTCTAACAAATGTATAAGATTAATATAGTGCCTATCTTTGACCATGATTATTGGAGAAAGAAACCCATCATTCACTATAAGAAGACTAGCTACCTCTTCGCATCTATTTGGTAAACAACACGTAATATTGTTGCATTTTTTTATGTTCAAAGAATAGTTGCATATTCTTGTATGAGTTTTTAACCACTCTCAAGGCATGTTGGTTTCATCGTTAAAACCTAAAAACTTGATAGAAATGAAGAGCTATTTGTTTCGACATACTTTGCTATAACTAGGTTTCCAAATAATGGATTCTGTTTCCAATAGTTACATAACAATTCCCCAGTATATTTGAAATTTCTTTTGATAAGTTCTACATCAATAACTTGACCTGTGAGTTTAAGTGAGAACCATAGGTATCAACAGATAATACGATGCCCGCAAGTTTTTGGGGAAAGTGACGACATATTACGCTCTACGGGGTTATATCTGGATTGATCTAAAATGATAATTAACTACCTTTAGTACTTTAACAAAAGTTTTCTTTGAGTGATTTTACTATAATAACCACTTAACCTTTAAACTTATTCTAAGTGCTAATCCTAAAATTAATGATTTTTAAAAATTTTGTCTGTGCCACAATCTAGCCCAGAATTTTTTAATATAATAAAATCATAAATAATTAATTAATTGATTTTCAAATAATCTTATTTGCTTATTACTAATTTTAGCTAGTATTATAGTTATGATTGTATAAATTAATCATTTATTAACTAATTAGCTAAAATAATTTTAGTTGATATGATCACTATCCTGGAGCATGTGTTCGAATAGTTAGATAGTCCAGATCAAATACATGAAACATTGCAGCATATTGGACGATATTTTTCATATGTCTAAGATTTTCATCTGGGTCTCTGTCAACAGATTACCCTAGGGCAGCCCCCATAGTTCAGGTAATGATTAATATCACATCACACCATATCACATTGCCACAGTTCTAATATAATGACTCCAATTAGTTATTGTATTAGAACTGCGACAGTATGATGTGATATCAAATATCACCAAACTTTGGGGACCGCCCTGGGGTAATCTCGTCAACAAGAAGGACCCAGGTAGGCTTTATTTTATTTTCAATTTTTAATATATCATCCAGACGGCTGTTTTCTATTAGCGAATTTAAATCATGCATATATGGTAAAGAGCTTGTGTCAACTCCATATTGTGGGCGAATAAATATTGAAAGTTGGCAATAGCAAAGCATAGTATTTGTATCATTAGGATTTATCATTAAATATACCGATAGTATAAGTTTCTGTTGCATACCTACCGGAAAATCATGATCCGGGATTGTTATGGGCTCTCTAATTGTTTGCATAGCACGAAATATTCTACTAACTGCTAGAATACCAAAAAGAATCTTGGCTTTGTCATCTTGTGAGATGACAACTAAAAACTTTAAAAATAAAGAAGCAAATTGTCTTGCCGTCTTCATGGAGGCAAGACAATAATGCTTATCTGGATGCTCACTTGTGTCAGTTTGAAATACATTTGAAACTGCGATATAGGCAGGATGATGATGTGCTTTGGCAGCAATCAAATTTGACCAAGATAGTAAGAGATAATTATTTACAGTAGTCCTAGAGATATATTCATTATAATGTTTTCTAAGATCATCTGCAAGATTATTACCGGTTTTAACTTTCATCACTTCTCTTCTTCTTTTTTTATCTGCGGTCCTGAATTCAATGCTCTTATGTATGCAGTCAAGTAAGTCTGAATGTTTTTGTAAGAAAGACGGCTTATTATATTTAATAACTATTTGCTGTTCTTTTATAAGGTCATTTCTAATATAGGGACAAAAAATAGTAAGTACTGATATTTGAATTGAGAGAAAAAAATAAAAAATAAAAAATATAGAATAATAACCCTTTTTTAACACTTTTGTGCCTATTCTTTACCTGATTTTTTAGATGCTTAACACATTTATCTTCATTAGAGAGGTTTTGTTTTAGCTGTTGAATTTGATTCATTAAATCTTCCTGTTCTTCCTAGTCACTAGTCAAGTTATACGCTCTTGTATACTCAGCAAGCTTTTTATTTGTATTATTGATAACTTTTACAGCTTGCTTTTGTGCGGATGCATTTGCTAGAGATGAATAAGGAATAACTATCTCCTTAATTATTTGCGTTTGTGTAATAGGGGTGGCACTGATATTTTGAGTAGTTTGAATCATGTTGGAGGGTTAGAAGATAGATATTGTAAGAAGATTTTGATAATATTTTCTTTTTCATATATTGATTTGTGTTTTATTTCTTTTTATGAGTTAATACACTCTTTGCACAAGATTTTCTTGTTATAGTTCGGGTTTTCAGAGATAACCATGTGATTGTACACAAATGCATTACAGAACTTTTGGTACTGGGTAGTTGGCGATTTATAAATATATAATTGGTTA